ATGTACGCAAGTGGTCGCTGCCGGAAAGCCTACTCAGAATGGCATAAAAGACGCTCTTTTCCTGTCGAAAAGAAAAGTAGGACTTTCCTCCTCACACTCCCGAGCCACTCGGGTGTGCCTCGCAGGGGGACGCTGCGTTACCAAGGGAGACCCGCAGGAGAGTGCTGCGTCAACAAGTTCTCCCTCGCAGCAATGAGCCCTGCCATTGTAAGAGTGCGCTCCCTCATAGCCAATGAGCCCTGTGTTGTATAAATGCGCTCCCTCACAGCCAATGAGCCCTGTGTTGTATAAGTGTGCTCCGTGGGACTTCCGCGACATCAAGAGCCTCCGCAGGGGGACGCTGCGAAATCAAGGGAGACCCGCAGGAGACCGCTGCGATACCAAGTTCTCCCTCACAGCCCTGAGCCCTGTGATTGTATAATTTTGAGCTTCCATGCAGCCTTGAGCCCTGCGTTATCAAATTTGCGCTTGTTAGGCGACCCGTGGCGCCGCGGCCCTCGTCCTGATCCTCTGGCGATTGCAGGCACCTCTTCGTGGTGTCAGAGACTAGTATTCGAGGGTACTCGAAGAAGCCAAGACCTGCTCCAAATAATCGATAGAATCAAGAATCCTCCGGGATACTTTGTGTGTTATGCCATTCAGCCTGTTTGTAGAGTTCACTATTCATGTTCCTTCTTCACGTAGGGTGTTTTGTAGCCTTAAATCACACTCTGGGTTTCGATTATGGACATTCCTTCCACATAATGGGAAGAAGAGCTTTAAGTCATCGTAGCGGTGAAGATATTGCTGCATGATTGCGTGGGCCAATTTGGGTGACGTCTGTAATTCAAAGTAGTCTCCTTTGGTGTGAATGCGGGCCAGCAGTGGCGGTAGAAGTTATCCGGATAATGTGAGACGCGTGTATTATTGAAGGTGAGGTGACGCGCGTTGAGGGTGAGGATCGAAGGTGAGATTTGATGGTGATTGATGTTCGGTTAATGGCGGGTTGGTGGTGAGGGTTGAGGGTTGGTGAGGATGATGATCAATGGGGACGAGACCAGTGAAGCAACATGTTGATGCGCGGCGCGGCGTAACTGCCGAGCGGTGAAGTGGCTGCCAACGATGACGACCCATCTCCGTTATAGTGGGATCTTCGTTGGCTCACCAATGATGTAAAAGATGATAGACGGTGAAAAATTATGCTGCTCATTAACTTGAATCTGGTAGTGCAGTAACTGCAATGCCTCTAATACGCTGTTCGAAGTCCTTTCTGAATACTCAACTATGGGCTTGAAGTCGCGTGACGGTGCAGTCAACATAGTTTACCATTTCAAAAATAATGCTAAAGGCTGTATTTTCGATGATAGAGTGTATCCTTATTTTGACTCCAGTCGCTCTACTACGCGGCTCTAGCTTCGTCGCATACTCTTCGGCGATACTCTGTGTATGTCACACGATGCATAGGTATGGTGATATCGACAAATGATCATCCAATGTGTGCCAGATATATATTCCCAAACTCGCACGGCATATATATTATAGCAGAACTGCTAAAACCATCAGATCATCAGCGATAAAAGCCCGTTATTCTGGCCCTCTTTTTGAATATCATATTCCATTGGCATGACCAAATGAGAGACATTTGTGGAGCTCAAAGGGGTATTGTAGCTGGGTACTGGTCGAGACTAACGGCTATGATATTCTATTAAGATGCTGGATATAGTGAGGCAAATTCCCCGTCGCCAGCGCATCTACTCGCATGGTCTAGTCGAATATGCCGCTTTTGCTTCCTAATAACGAACCGGGTTCGATTCCCGTAGGGTGCATTTGAATGGCCATTCATCAGAAAGACGGTTCTCGCATGCATTTCATCGTCGTATTCACATCCCGCTTGTTTTTCCGGCTTGTCTCGCGTACGTTCTTATCTCTTAGGCCTCGTGATTATGTAACTTTTTCTGTAGTCACCGAAGGCAGCACCCCGCGGTATACTACGGGCGACAAGGCCGTGCACTGACGCGTCTCGCGTCTCGCGTCGAGCACAAGTGACAGGCCCACAATGACAATACATCACAGCTACGTTCGAGATCAACAAAAACGACTTTTCTACCAGTTATCACAAACCCACATGGCATCCTTCAAGTAATAATTGAGCAGTTGCAACCACTGCGGCAACCGAACGGCCATAATTCGCGAGGCTGCTTCCGCTCTTGAATTCGTGCCGTTCTGTGATGACGTCCGGCCACGTTTGGGAGGGAAAAGTAATCTTCATATCAGCGGTTTGGCAAAAGGTCAGTTGGTTATCCCAGACTTCCAGCCTTGAGAACGTACTCTTTCACCTTTTTCATGATATAGGCCACGGGGGAAGCTTTAAATCGCCATATGCATTGGCCACAGGCAAAACAGTATGCCGTTGGATATACTCGATCTAGCACCAATTATCAGCGACTGGCGCAAGATGGGTGTTCGCCACTGACCATGCTCGCGGCCTAGATGAGAATCCCAATACCAGCCACAATACACTATCCCGATCGGACTTATGCCGAAGCAGTGTTCCGTTTCCCTACTTCTCCATATCAGCAAGACTTCTGGTGACTAAGGATGGTACAGACTTGCCGTCAATGTGGATTGGTATCAGTGAAGGCCAACCAGAGATGTAGCGGGCTCAGCTCGATTACACGTGGGCGAGGGCCCGGGATCACTCCGTACCGCTGCAAATAAATGTTGGCAATATCTGCCAATGCATAGCTGTTTCGTCTTTGCTTTTCGCGTGAGAGGAAAATCTTCATACATGTCAGGACAAGGTTACACTGAAGGAGAGGATCATGGTTTTCGGTCTGGAATGAAGTAGTAGCTGACCTGAAAGCGACTGCTCTCATGGGTAGAGATATGGAGTAGATCCTGTGCTGCGACCTGGCTTGTCGCTAGTTGAGCTGCAATCAGGGCTTGGCAGAGCCGACCCTCAGCCCGTGGCCTAGAGCTCGGTTCATTGCTGGATTATATTATACCTGGAGAGACCATGGCCTTTCTTGGTGACCGTCGATGCTAGACTCCTCTTCGATGTCGTCGAATGCTGCAATGACTCACTCGGCCTAGTATGGGACCGGCCATGGCTGCCGACGAGGCTCCGGATCGGAGGTCGGCAAGAGATCATAGCTGTCGGAATATGGCAAGTTCTTAATAACCTGATTAATGGCCTTCGATCGGGAAAGGTAATGCTGAAGAAACGAAAACTCTTTCGAGACTTACCGTATGGCTAAGCACAGGGCATCAAGCCTTTCTGAATTAGGCTCGCTCAATGCGCCAGGTGAATTGGCCATTTTAACCACATCTTCAGGAACAACAAAGGTGCATAGGAATATTCAGTGGCTTGGCCCATCAGGTTGATGAAGCTGGTTTAGTTTCGAAGACGAAGAGGGGGGACATATCTCTGTAAGGTCGAGGGTAATATTGACACGCGCCCTATGAAGGATAAGAACTATCAGCGATATTTTCCGAAGAACAGAGAGCCACCAACGGAAAGCATTCGTACGTAGATTGAAATGTAGTACCGGGTGTTGGGAATGGGATAGGGGCAAAGCACAAGCGTGACTTACAAGACATTGAGTGACTCGCGATAGAAAATTTGCCATCCTATATAGATGGTCGTCAGCATATGAGATCTGCCTTGTAAATCCCTGCAAAATTTGAAACTTACGTTCTCAGATAATCAAAGCCACAATATAATAATATAATATTGTATATGCCACTAAGGCTATATAGGTAATAGTAACCGAATACCCTTTTTTTACTATGGCGATTGAAGTGCTGTCCACTGCAGGGTACTTTCTAAAGGATGGCACCTGATTATCTTCAATCATGGGCGGGTAGCTTATGAAGGCAATTTGTAACTCACATTGCTCGCAGTTTGAACCACTCCAGGCCCTGAAAGATTCGTTCAATGATTTCGTTGAGGAATAGCGGAACCAGGGCTGATATCGAGCATCTTCCGAGTCAGCATGATTCTAAATGAATCGGAAGCGACACTCACTTGCTGTCTGAAGACTTTACTATCGTGAAATGTTAGACTATTGCGACCTAATAGGTCAGTCCAGTTCATTGCATGATTTGGAGGTCAATCCATACCAAAGAGTAGCCGCGGAGAGAAATTACATTCGATACTTTGTCACCCAGAATCACAAATGAATGCCTACGAGCGACTGTCCTGCTGGAGAGGGACCGGGTACATATTTATTGCATTCCAGCTAGGTGTTTAGTCTACGTCAATGAGATAATGATTGTGAATTGTGAGTGCTCAAGCTCAAATTACTCTTCAATCATAACTGGCTCAACTGTCATCACTGGTTCAAAGCAGCTCTCAAGACGCATTGCACTTTGCGCCTGGTGATGCGAAATATGAGAAACGTTTTCTGGTTATTTGCATCGTACAAACAGTCGTGAGAACGCCACATAAAAGAATTGATGACAGTCATCAACATTCACCACCGTCAGTCCGCCCTTGATTGCGACGGGCGAAATGACGAGATCATGTCATTCATTTCACTCACCGGTGACGAGCCCGTTAGTCCCCGCAACAGCAAATCACCAACAGCAGGCAGACCGCAGATTATTCGTTTTCTACTTCGTATATCGGAGATATGTCATCACACCTACCCAATATCAAGTGGATACAAGCTATGGTGCGGCACGAGACCGATTCGCACAGCCCCATCTCACAACAGTCTGTTGTTCAGCAAGCCAGTCATTAGTTCAATTACGTTCTCGAAGAACAAACATCCACGGCCAGCCGCGTCTTTGCAAAGGCATTCCCCACATGAATCTCCTGGGAATGAAGCGGATGCGGATGGGAACTACTCGGAATATGAGCCAGTTCGTGCCACCAATGGCCCACATGCTCACAAGCCGTCTTGATTATCGGTTAATACTTGGCCAATAATTGGCCTTGGCTCCCAGGAGTCTTTGGGTCGTGATTATTGATGTGATCGTTGGTTACCACTGATAGAGTGAAATTTACGAGGCTATGATTAATCCAAATCATTCGCAAAGCCTCCGTAGAAATGATTGGTCCAAACTTGGCTATGAGCTCCTGGTGAGCTGGCGCTATTGGTCGCTATTGCGGCCCATGTTCGGGCCCGCAGGGCCAGTGAGTGGCCTGCTTCGGTTTGCATTTGCAGAGCTCGCACTTCTTCTTGGAACTTTTCATTCTGTTCTTGGTCGTGTTTCACTCCTAGTAGCTCGGCCTTAGTGGCTCCGAGGGGCGTAGTTTGACGGTGGACAATATTCTTGAGATTGTCGATGAGCTTCCACGCTTCTCTAGTGGTGATTCAGCCTGTGCCTTCGGCAGGTTTTGATCCGGTCTACACCCTGTACATTGAGTTTGAATATCCATCATAGCTATATCTGAATCTGAACTGTTAGCATATGACATCCTCTCCATTCCGGGCTCACTAAAATGGAGACATGGGTACGCTATGGACATTATTGTATCGCCACTGGCTAATGTTAGCAGGTATAGTGGCACCCCAGGAGCCGATAGCCAAGCTTGACCAATCATCGCTATCGAGGCTAAGCGGCATGAGTGGGCTATTGATGGGACCGATTGGTCCATCATCTCCTTTGGATTGGTAAGATTGCCAACCGTCATAGAGAGCGCGACGTTGATAACTTGGCGGTAGTCAGGGCCAACTATTGCCAGGGAATTGACCTGTCCGCCTAATTTTCTTGAGCGACAATGCTCTTGATCCACATTTATGTGATACTCAAATAACTGAGATATCGAATCGAAACACGCATCACAATGTGACACCGTGACCCTTACAACTCATCTCGGGGTAGAAATCAGCACGGAGAATGCCGGACTATGTTAGCGTTCAGGCACGTGCATGATGTTTGGTTTAAATGCAAAATAATGGTGGGATTTCCGAACGAATGAAAAGAGAAATAAAGATTGGCAAATAAACGTGAAATGCTCTCACCCACCATACTACTTACTGACTGGCGTGTGGCTAAAACACAGCAGGTAGTGCGGTGGGTGCCGCCCGGGTGAGAATGGGGTGAGCGCCGCTTTAGCGTCGCGCGACTCGGGTGATTAGGGTGAGTGCGCAATAGACAGGGTGAGAATGGGGTGAGACTGGGTGAGAATCATACCCTGTAGAGCGACCACTGCACTGACCCCTCAAGCTGAGCTGGCTCTAAATATCATTGGGCCAAAGCTTCCCCCTGAAACGCTCGGTCTCTTGGCATCTGCACATAGCCTCAATGTGTTGATGAGAGAAATTCTTGGCAGGAAAGCGGACGAACCAGCGTCGAGAAGTGTCGAGATCTGCAACGAGTTTGGCAGGGGAGGGAGTGCAGCCAAGTTTCGCAGACAGGTCGCACCTCCACGGCGCTAAGACAGGGTAATAGATTGGCCGCAGGGGCCTTCTGTCGGTCCCGTGTGGGGGCTAAAGATTTGAACGATCAGGTTCAGCGAAACTAGTCAGTCTGAAATATCAGTCGAGCCATTTTCGTAAATCTACTTCACAAACAGATCATTAGAGGCTCTTCAAAACTTTCATGCCAAGCGGCTACCAAAAAACGGCACGGTCCGTCGTGACCAGGAACCACTTCCCTTACCACTGGCAGGTTGGGGGTGGGGGCGCTAACCACGTATTACACAAGGCGTCATATGCCCCTCCTTTAGTACTACCGGATCGTATACGATCACGTGATTAAATTTGGCCGAATAGTTTCGCTGAGTGGCACAAGGCACGTGAACTGCTCTTGCATCGAACTCTGGGGAAAGACGATACGGAAGAATCCTTATATGTGATCGCTCGAGTTTCCAAATAATTACCATCTCAGACTTTCATTTGTTTCTTCCAGTATTTTTCATACCTCTCACGATTTACTCAGCAAGACTGGCTGCATTTCGATGTCTACTGGTTTAAGCTGGCGGTCTTGGTGTCTGCCTCAGGCCGAAGTGTAGGAATCGCGGCAAGTGGAAAAGCGTTTCCCCGATACCGTTAACTCCTTTCTTTGAGCGAAACGTTCCCGTTAATGAGGGCTTATTCGGGGCCCCTTTTAGAGGCAATGAAGAGAGCTGTACCCTACAATTTATTGGGCTCAGGACCCTGAGATCGTCGCTATGTTGAAGCCCCGTTCACTTCTACGAGGAGATATAACATATGATGTTGCAAAGGACAGTGACGCTAATATTCTCCACGAGTTAGGCTACAGAGATCAGAAGATCCGATTCTTTACCTATCTGTACCGAAACCGAGAGCTGATCAAGTCGCTTATTACCACACATCTTGGTCTGGCATCTCAAAATTCGTGTCATCTTGTGGATGTGGAAGACTGGATACATGGAAGCTTTAATGTTTGCATTCGGGCTGATGTCTTCGACTCGACAGGAGCGGTCGGGAGGCAGGTGATGATTCGTTTCCCTCTGCCGTATCGAATTGGGGAGTATTTTTGCCCTGGAAATGCGGATGAGAAAGTTCGTTGTGAAGTTGGAACTTATACATGGCTTAAAGAAAATTGCCCGACTGTCCCCATCCCCGTCTCTATGGATATGGGCTTTCGAGCGGCAAAACTGTATCACTCTCATTTATTCTACCCCCAATCTGAACCCTCGCTTATATTTTACCTAGTTCATCGAATTCAGCAGCCTGCCTTTCCTCTCTCGCAACATCCAGCGTCTGCGCCGAGTGATTTTACAGACTCTAGGATATCGAGTTCCATCCTTCTACGCTGAGAATCCCAGCGAATCTTATAATATCCTCGGCCAACCTTACATTATCATCGAATATGTCAGTCAATCAAGCAGCAACATGCTTTCAGCAACATGGGAGGAAGGGCGCTTCAACCCGACTCTGCGCTCCAACCTGTTCCGAGGCCTTTCTCGCATTATTCTCACTATGGCACGAGTTCCACTACCTAAGATTGGATCTTTCTCTATTGATGATGACGGCTATTTAAAATTGAACAACCGGCCTCTTACCATGGAAATCCAACAATTGGAAAACGAAAGAATTCCAGTGAATATACACCGGGGCACGACACATCTTGGTATAGAATCTTTTATTCACGACGCTCTTTCTCTACACGAAAGTCGTCTTCGCTATCAGCCAAACGCACTCAACAGTCGTGAAGACGGACTCTATCAAGCGTCTGCACTAATGGTCATGAGAAGCATCTGGCCTTGTCTCTTTAGCCGGGAGCTTTTTCGGGGGCCTTTTCTTTTCAACCTCACAGATCTCAACCAAAGCAATATCTTTGTTGACAATGATTGGAATATTGTACGGCTAATAGACCTTGAATGGGCTTGTTCTCAACCTGCTGAGATGATACATCCTCCATACTGGTTAACAAACCAAGCCATCGACTTGATCGACTCAAGTGAATATGAGGCCCTCCACACCGAATTCATGGACATATTTGCGGAGGAACAGAGGAGTTCCGACCCTTTCCAACTGTATCCGACAATGAAGAAAGGACTCGAGAATGGCACGTTCTGGTATTCTCTTGCTCTTACGAGTCCTTCAGCCTTTTCCACAATTTTTTATGACCATCTTCAGCCTAAGTTTACAAATGGTCATGGTATAACCGAGTTTTGGAGCATCACGATGCCATATTTTTCCTTAGATACAGCCGCCTTGATTCAGCAAAAGGTTAAAGACAAAGAGAGATATGACGTTTCTCTACAAGAAGCATTCCGATGCTAGATCACTGCTTCCTGCATATCTGCAATTATCTTGGTTGGTTTAGACTTTGTCCCTGGCTGTTGTTTTCGTCCTTCTTCAATTGCTCTGCTGCGGCCTGGAGACTTGCTATTGCCTTTCCACCTCTCTTTTGCTGCGCGGCCTTTCCGGAAGAAGAGAGCTGGTTCATAGATTTTGCATCCATTTTCATAGCGACACTCGCTTCTTCGACTTTGCCATCATAACTTGAATCTGATATTCGATCCGCCATCTAGAAGCATCACAGTGAGTAATTTGTTTGCAGAGTTAGGAGGGCCTCGATAGTATCTTACCGCTGGCACAATAGGGTCTGACCGGACGATTATATTGGCACGAAATGGCAAGGGAGCATGTAGTATTTGTCGAGGTTGTAGGAAGAATATGCGAGCTTTGGTGGGAGAAGCCCTTACGCATATTTCTTCCATTTTGGCCGGTGTCGACCGTCAGTGGGGGCTGTATACCCCGCTCTGCCTCTTACTTCTCTGCTGGCCTATTAATGCACATTCCATCTCATATAGACCAATTAAAACGGTTTCCTACCCCTCCGTGACCGTAGATAACTCTGAGGTAGCCGCTTGTTGCGGCCCGTGCCACAGGATGCACTGTGTCTCATGTGCCAACCAGTGAGGAAGACTTTCCACCCGCTTGGCGATGAATGGTTTAGAATCCCCTCAAAAGTTGAGGCCCCCAAAGTAAGTGATACATGTGATTACGTGCTCACAGCCACGAGCTACTTGTGCACCCACTAACTCCATTTTATACGCGCGAGTCTTCTAATGACCAAGATTCCAGACAGGTGATATCTCCAGGATGAGACTCAAAGCGAAACCATAGCCCGACACGCCGATCACTCTTGCCAGTATCAACAGTGATTTTTCACCCAACGATGCTTACTGGGCACTTAGATCAGCGTCCTGGTGGTAACGGACTGTCCTCTGTTACTTTAATTAATCCTGTCAGCTGAATCAAAAGTTGAGTCACTATCCACACCTTGGTCAATATAAAACCTCAAGTGTGTCTTTAAAACTATTATGCAGGTTTTGGCTATATCCGACCCAGGAAGGGGATCTCCGGCTTTCTATGGCAAGAATTTCAGAGTGAAGCTATGGTTATCGGATGCTTCAACGAGCTCAAGAATCTACGATGCCTTTTTTTTGGAAGATAAGACCTGATTATAAACCTGCTTTCTCTATAGCGCTGCATATGCTAGTCATACCTTAGGGTCGCACTAGCGGATATTAGTTTTTCCATACCCGAACCCAAAGCCTCGGGCATCAAACCAACCCACCATCCTTTTCCCCGCCGCCCGGGAAGTTATTGAATCACTTCTTCCAAAGCGACCACCGGACGGGACTTATATTCACTGTTGGTATTTTCCTCCATTCTGCTCGCTGGCTATTCAAAGTACAATACTGACGGTCCGCCTCCTCTAGCACACCCACGTCAAATATACCAGAGCCATGCCGACCAACATACAAGCCGATGCATTTCCAGAACTTGAATCGCTAGCAAAATGGGTTTCTAGCGCCGAAATGAAGGAGGAGAAAGGTAAAATCAATCTCCTCGGATGCGTGGATAAAGCCCGGGAAGTGAAAGCGCGGCCATTGTTAGAGAAATTAGGATATATCACGGTACTGAGATCCAACCTATTCAAATGGGAAAACGAGTCTGATCAGGTACAGGGCCATTCTGTTCTATTATTGCGAATATGTGGAAAGGCATCGATTACGAAGCCCGATGGCCGAACCTTATTATTCTTCCCTCTATCCAGCGACGTCCAGGTTGAGGGCGAGATACTCAAACCAGGGAGTTTTATTCAACTTACTAAAAACCTGGACCTTGACACGCGATTAGATTGTATGATCATCATTCTACCTTAACCTGCCTTGCGGGATCATTTCTGTATCTGCCTCGCTTTTGTATATGAATCGCAAAACTTTTATGTCATGATTAGCTCGCATCACTCTATAATATTTGACATTGAACATATATTCCGTAAGGATCCACGGACTAAAATATCCCAATAATTATACGGTTATAACATTGTGGCCAGCCTGTACGATGACACTATCGGAAGATGTGGTGTGAGGGGTCAAAGGCATTTGTCCGGCCTCACTTGAGATACTGTCGTTTTGAAAATCGGGGAATAGAGCAGACAAAATATTCTTCGCCGTCTCCTGCTCGGCCTGGACAGACTGACCGGTTCTGTTGTCACTTATTAATGGTTTTGTCTCCTGCGTAGCCACATTGGTCTCATTTATTTCGCCGGTCTGGTCCAGAGTGCTGTCGATCTGAGAGATAAAAATCGCATCACTTGATAATGGGTCAAGGCCTGTTTTCTCTTGCATAGCCGCATTCGTCCCATTCATCTCGCCAGTTTGGTCCAGAGTGCTGTCAAGAGGGAATGTGAACAGCGCAACACTTGATAACGGGTCAAAGCCTGTTGTCTCTTCCATAGTCGCATTGGTCTCATCTATTTCGCCGGTCTGGTCCAGAATGTTGTCGATCTGAGAGATAAAAAGCGCATCACTTGATAATGGGTCAAGACCTGTTGTCTCTTGCATAGCCGCATTCGCCCCATTCATCTCGCCAGTTTGGTCCAGAGTGCTGTCAAGAGGGAATGTGAACAGCGCAACACTTGATAACGGGTCAAAGCCTGTTGTCTCTTCCATAGTCGCATTGGCCTCATTGGTTTCGCCGGTCTGGCTCACGATGCTATTTGAAGCAAGGCCAAATAACTCGTCTCTTGCAAAGTATGACGTTGAATGGTCGGAACTGCCAAATTGAAATGGCGCATCGATTGCCGGTGGTTGGAAATGTGACATCTCGATATCATTGAGATTTGGGTCACTGATATGAAGTACTTCCCCAGGCTGAACATTCTGAGGTCCAGACAAGCTTCCTAATACTTCACTCGTAGAGACTGAGCCACACATCGCTGACATAGTGTAAGGTGTATCAGCTCTGTAAGACGAGAGTCGTCTTCTTTTACAACGATCTCCAGGAATCGTCACGTTGAGAAAACAAGATTGTAATTCGGTGAACCATCTGGATGCCCGTTCCACAACCTCCAAGAGGCAGAATTCCTTTTCGATGGACTTTGATGGCCCTATCAACGGGAAAGGGAGGCGCAGTTTTATTTTCGCGCCATTGGCGAAGAATTTCTCCACGAATCTCGGGATTTCACCCAACTGCAAGTTTCTGAACGGTGTAATGGCCAAGGCGGTTAGAGCAGATATACCTCTTCCAGAATAGGCTTCCCCGGCGTAGATACTCTGTCTTTGTTTCAGTTCGTGCCGGAAAGCCTCTTCAATCTTGAGATGTTTTTGACCGGCTTGAATATAATGAGATATCCTTTTAATTTCCTTTTCAGGGGCACAAAGGTGATCCCTCACAAATTTAGGGATTTTTCCATCTCTTTTCTTGTTCCTTCTTGGAATGCAGTGACTCTCGAAAATTGAGAATTGAAGCGCTAGACCACGTAGCGCAAGCGCTCGACAGAGCTTGTCTTCGGTGGTTGGTTTTTGAATACGCTCTAGCCTTTCGATAAAAATCATCCAGCGACCAGAACTTTGGTATATGTCTTTGATCCATTCATCCAGGTGCTTTGGGATGAGATCCCACAGCCCTGGGATTTCACCCAGCAATGCTGTGTAAAGCTCAAAAGCCGGCAAATCTTCCTGCCCAGCATCCCTGTCGGTCATTGCGGTGTCCTCAGAGGCATTATTGAGTTCGGGTTGCTCCTGGTCTTGTGCGGGATGGCCATTGTCAGTGGTTTTGCTTGAATCACTAACGGGGGCCTGGATCAAACTCTGGGCTCTGCCTTGGCAGAAGATGCATCGAGGAATTTCTAAAGGGTCCAATCCACGAGAAGAGACCATCTTGGTTAATCTATCTCCTAGTTCTCTTATCACAAGGGCCGCCTCGTCGTGGTGGGAGTAAAGAAAGTCATCTGATGCTTCACGCAAAGTTGCTAAAGCAGTGGAGTTATCCATTTAATAGATAAGGTCGTTGACCTAGGGTACAGGGAGGAGAGACAGGATCGAAAAGAGACCAGACATTGGGGTTAAGGGGAGGCTTGCCCGGAGGGATGATTTTCAGCCAATATCAGTCCATGCCCATTAGAGTGCTTGGACCTTTCACTGCTCTGTACTATTGGTAGTTTGAAGCGGGGTTACCTGCACCTCATGTCACACAGAGTCGGATAGTGACAGAAGGATTGGGGCCAGGCCTTCACGCATTCTGATCTCAGTATACTGCTTTAGCTCTTTAAAACCAGCATATTCCCTACCAGGAAAAGGTCGCTGCATGAACTCCACCTCATAAATAGGGACTCTTCCCTTGACTCTTTTTATGTGCCATTGGTATTCATGGTCTGCTCAAATAGTCTGTGGTATTTTGGTCACCGTGTTTGTATCCCCCTCTCCAATATTTGTTAGGATATTGAAGATAATATGAGGCTTCGAATCTTCTTCTCACCGTTGACCACATACAGGTGATTCATGCGTGGTCGACTTGGTGGAAATATTCATCGTCAGGCATTCTATCGAGAATGAGCATCAAATAGCCGGAGCAACCAATTAGAGTTGAGAGCAAAATCCCCAGGGGGTTTTGCTTTGATCTATCATTGGCTGCCTTAGCCATAGTGGCGTTCCCTGTTGGTGGTGGAGTGGAGAAAGATCTGATGAATCACAGCTGAGAGCAAAATCCCCAGGGGGGTTTTGCTTTGATCTATCATTGGCTGCCTTAGCCATAGTGGCGTTCCCCTGCTGATGGTGGAGTGGAGAAAGATCTGATGAATCACAGTTGGGAGCAAAATCCCCAGGGGGTTTTGCTTTGATCTATCATTGGCTATTCTGATTATAGTGGTGTCGCCATATTCCGTTCAGTCGGATCTTCGGCTTGAATGACTATACTGCACAGTATATATTGAAATGAGAAAAGATCGATGGTAGTCTTGCAAGTAGACAGGGGGTCGATAGTGATACAACACCAGCACCCCGCAGCGCTGCACGCGTAGTGAGACATAGTTCTGAGATGGGAGAGCGAGCATCGCTTGTCCAATCTATAAAATGATAGTTGCTGCCCGTCCTTTCCGTACCAGTGTCCGGAGAGAGCTTTAGATTATCTTTACTTCTTTACTTCAGCGATCCTCAATGTGCGAACTCCTTGTCTAATTACACGACGGTCGTGGTGGCTGCGGCCATGCAATTGCGTATGGATACCAACGTTGTCAAAATGCTTTTCAGCGACCTGACAGACATCCATGTATCCCCCCCCACCGGCAGAATGCGTGATTTGCCGCGGGCGTCAGATGCACTGGACCGACACGAGGAAGGGCTGTGCGCTGTTTGCAGAGGCGAAACACCTCCAAGTTCCGAAGGCTCTGAAATTCTCGAGATTGTTTAACGTTAGTCATTTCATTAGGAATTGAATTCCCACAGCTAATTTCTTATAGTGAGGAAGATGGGCCATGAAGAATTGAGCTTGGGCTAGGTTCACTATTGGCTATTTTCGCGATATCTGTGATCCTGCGATCCGGATTTTTATCTTATCAAACGATAAACCTAAGTTTTCAGTACTACTTTGAACTATTTGTACCATTGAAGTAATCTACCAGCTTTAAGGATTCCCCCCTAACGTTGTACTTGATTGGAAGATCTGGTCACCGCCTTCGTACCAAAAGCATAAATAGCTTTGTCCTTTGATAAATCTGCCCGACTAACTTCTCTCCATCTCATTTCGACATGGCGCAGGCGAAGCGAGTGGTTCTACGTCTTCGTGAAGCTGACATGAATGATCGTGATCTCTATGAGCCTGCTCGATTATACCTTGAAAAGCATGGGCACTCTTCAAGTGAGATAGAATCCAATCGTCACTTTATTCATATTCAACCCCCCCAACCCCCATATCCCACAAGCCGACCCAAAACTCCATGTTATCATTGACATGGAGGTTAAGCAACATTCTGGGAATCTGAGCCACGACTTTCCTCACGAGTTCTTTCGTGTCCGGCGTGAAGGAACTGAGCTGTGCGAAAAATCCCATATAGACACGCTACGTTACTTCTCACTAACTTTGCTGTATAGGTTAATTTTTCGTTATCGCCAGAACCAGTGGTTTGAAAATTTCAAACGTACAGTTCGCGAAATTACGGACAATATTTATCCTTGGGGAGACGACAACTTGAAATTGAGCGAAGAAAGCAGGAGGGCTTAGTTAATGAGATGGATGGAATCTCTCGTCCTAGTAAAATCTGGCCTCAAAGGATTCGACAAAGTTGTCGGCCGACCTCTGCGACTTTACGAGGTTCGATAAACTAGCAACAAGGAATATTTTGTGAATATCGCGACTTACATGCGGCAAATACTGCCGGGAGCCAGCCTTCAGAGGATGATATCGAGTAGAAGATTGCGGAGTCGTCCAGATTCTCCAAACAGAAGTTGCGGATCATCCTCTTTCCGATCAATTCCGGCCCCACCAAGATAACGTAATCCAAATTATTAGATCTTATCCAGTGAAGTCCGAAAATCCGAAAATCTCGTAAAGTGTCTAGTCAATTTTTCGATTCAGGTTGAATCATGAACCCTAAAACGGAATATTGATTCCTCGATCACTGACAATCCGATGTTCTCTTAGCTGACTAAGCCATAATGTATGTAGGTTGGATTGAAGACATTATTAAACCACCCGGGCAGCTGAAATTCTCTAAACTATATGGTTTCTTCGGCAAAATGGAAGGCACATAAACGGCACCCCTGTCGCTGACGCACACTGACAGGGGTACCACTTTAGTCAAAGTGGTGCCTGCGACAGGAGTTTCGCCATAAACAAATTGATATCCGTCCCATGAAAATCCTGTGTCAGGATTTAATCATCAAGTATGTAAGATTTTATCCACCATCCTGCCAGCTGAAACACTCCAAGAAGCATGGACCGGACTCGAGGCTCGGTTGGTTCGGTTTAGCCAATACTATGCACACTCAGAACTCTGCAGTCAATCAAGATCCACAGGTATAGGGGCAATCTGAAATACAGACATATAAAGATTGTATCCACCCTGTTGTCAAGTATCTAGGACGGACAGTGGCACCCGCATACCTGGGGACAAATTATCTTGACTCAGAAGCTTCCTGATATCAGTTCGAGACACATCATGACAGCAAGAAGATCCACTATATCGCAACGGTTGTTTCTTGCTTGCGATAATTGCAAGAAGAGCAAGACTCGTTGCAGCAAGGGAGATACCTGCGTGCGCTGCTTCAAACTCAATCGGGTTTGCGTACGGTCCATGTTAGTTGAAATTATTTATCTCATTCCTCCAAGGAGTTTTTACTCATTCTCTCAAAGGAGACCTGCGGTCAGAATGGCGTATGACGCGAATAAAGCGAGCTTGAAACGTTACGGTCTTCCGAAAAATTCTGACATTAAGAAGTACAAGGCTTCTTTTTTCAATCAAATCCATCATGTCAGTAACTCAACTTAGATGATTATTGTCAGAAAGCTAACGAGCTTTAAAGGTGTTCTGCGTGGTTGATGAAGAGCAATTTGAGGGCGAATGGCGCCAATTTAGAGAGACCCCCGAGACTTTTTCAAGTGCTTGGCAGGCTCTTCTCTTTACGATACTTTCACTGGGGTGTCTAGTCCCAGATGAATACGACCAATTACTCCATACAATCTCTGTTCAGTATGAACAGCAAGCGTGGGAATGTTTTACCAAAGCTGAAATCGATAAAAATTTATCGATAACCGGATTGAAAGCTCTGTTATTACTTTCATATATCAGAGCATATCGGGGAGGCTCTATCTCTGCCCTCGCGCGAATGGTATGGAGAGCCGCCAAGAAACTAGAGATTACTGCGACAAACGAGAAAGATGTCTTCAATGGAGTGGTGACCATTTTTTCGCTGAATGTACAGCTCTCGCAGACACCTAAGCAGGAATGGATCCCTGAGGATATAGGGCTCCAGATAAAGATATCCTCCGCATCAACTACAACTCACCCCGAGCTTGATTTAATTTATTTGCGTATATCATCCCCGAGAGTTAGTCACATCGATTCAGAACAACAACTAATTGGATTTGTGGAGAGGTTGAAAGACGCAAAGTGTTATTTGGGGGTTCAACAGCATCAACAAAACACAGATTCCACAATGAGCAGCCTCTCAATATTAGAAGCCCGCGTCAATTATCTACTCTATTACATCTTCCGCTATACCCATTTGGCTTCGTCAGAACATGTCCACTTCGCAAGGAATGTCCTGCAATCATTCCAGCAGGCTACCTGGTATCGATCTGGAATCGGGAGCCTCGAAGCCGCTGATTGTGCCTTGAGTCTTGCCAGTTCGACAGTCAATGAGGATTTACGCCTTCTCGACCATACTAAGGAAGTTTTGAAGTCTATAGCGCCTTACAGCAATATCAGCAGAGGGCGCCTCCCCGAAGTTGAAGAGACAATGGAATATTATTCCAGAGCAGAGAATTTAGTTGAGGCTTATCTAGATGAGTTATCCTTTCAGTCCATGATATGGAGCGGGGACTGGGGGCGAAGCAGATAGTGACTGTTGGACTGTGAAGTTTTTTTTCTTTCTGTTACCGTCAGTTGAGTTTTCACTGGAGGTATATCTGTTTTTTTAGTGTTCAATGTATGAGTTTGATTCTATAAAATTTATGCTCCCTCAAAAAAATCTATTTAAATGATGTTGTGACTCTTGCTTCGAGTTTGAATATTCCACCGTCTTTGTTACCAATCTACCTCGATGTTAAAAACCTACTCTTCGACCCCGCTTCAAGGGCCTATCCGAGGTCCTAATGGCCGACGCTTGATCCGGCATATGACCTGGCGCTCATCGACATACAGAATCATGGCCTCATTATGGGTATTGGCAATGGTTTACATTCTCTGGCTGATTCGCGACATCTTCTACCTACCATTCAATGCGTCCAACACTACGGTATCTTGACCTTGCCCCAGCTCTAACCTATGAGAGCAACTGGCGAATAAGATGCTACTTGAGGTGGAGAAGGGGTGACAAGGAAAGAAAATATTGCGTCTGCGAATTTTCGCTACATTGATTCCTGTAAGAGTAAACAGACAAAACTTTATGGTCTAAAAGATTAATCATTAAAAGATTAAGTACGAAAATTATTTGTGAACTTCTGTAATTTAATAACAGCTGGAAATACCCCCAATGGACTTCTATAAAAAAATTCCAATCAGCTCAGTCTACCTGTATACATTGATTGAGATCGAACCTCCGCTATGTTTCATCTCTTGAAGTACTTCCGCAATTTCGAGTTTTTAAGCAGTTGTTTTGGCTCGCCACAGGTAGGTCCTACAGTACCACGAATGGATAGAGCTGACCGTTTCTAGGAATCCAAAAACGCGAATCCATCCACTCCGAATAGTCCCACATATCTACAGCATCAGCTTTCAGTGAGGGAGCAAGAGACTATGACATATCCCGATACTTTTAAGCTACCAAACGACAAAAGCTGTAATGTTTCTGACCTTCATACGGGCAGCCTTCGAAGGTCGGATAGCCCCGAGAATTGGCAAATTGCTAGAGTCTTGCGCATCAAGTCCTCCAAGACATCGCTTTATGGGTTACAAGTAAGAGTCGAACTCAGGAAAAATAATACGATGCAAGTTGAAGGAAAATGGATGAATCAGGAGCAATGTGAAGATATGGATGGTTATGCCGACGCGTTTGTAGCATTCACGGAAAACCAGCGGAAGATGTGCCGAGAATAGTCGTGCTAGCTAAGAAGCTATATGAAGAGTGTAATTCCCACAATTGTCCACCTTTAAGTTATTCCATCAAGTCAACTTGCCCAATACTAGCCGAATGTATATTTGTTGCTGACTATTCTTCAGTTTCATAGGCTAGCAAGACGAGGAAGAAGTATTACAGACAAGAGGTGGCCTAGAAAAATGGACTCATTTGACCTTCGTCCATTTTTTGCACAAAGCCAATCCGGTGGGTCTTACTAAATCGAAATACTAAAAAATCGGCTGAATATTTACCAGCTGTGTTGTCTTTGGATGAAACGAACAGAAATGTTTTCAGCTATCAAAGTTCTATCACGGAGACACTCAAGGCTAGATACGGTATCGAGGCAGGAGCAAACCTGGCTAGCGTGTACATGACTATGTTCGAAATATCTCCGGTACTTTTTCATGAACACCAAGATCGCAGGTGGCTTTACAATGCTATGTGGGCTCGTGTGTTCAACCAGGAATACCTATCTACAGAAGACGGTGCATTTAACTGGCTATCAATTGCGATAAAGCAACGGGCGTGGATTGGATATGATGGAATGAGGATTTTGCCCGTCCTAGGAACACAGAGCAGGGTACTTGCGCTGTTTAATAGCTTAGAGCAGCTCGATACCAAAGAGTGGGAGGCACAATTTTGCTTGGACTCTTACGAAACCCCGAAAATCATAGGATCGATATACTACATCGCCTCACTTTTCCAAAGTTGCTGCCATGTACCCGACATGCCAGTGAATCCTCAACTTGACATTTTAGTGTCATACGAGCAACGCAGGGCAGAAGCCGACAGAATCTGTCTGAATGTCGCTATATACTTCTCAGAGAGGTCCTCAAAGTGAGTGAAGCTGACTGCGACCTCGGACTCCAACTTTTTATAACGCGATATATAGTTCTGCTTCGCTCGAATACCCAGATAAATACGAAAACGGATCTGGATCTTTTATCAACTTGGAAAATAAATTTCTCTGTCAGGAATGTGGCAAGGAATTTAAGACCATGCTTCGATTAGCCAACCATGAGCTGGAACATGGAAGATTGCACCCACAATTTCAAGATTCGCCACGATGCTGGAAAGGAGATTGCAATGGAAGGATTTATGCTGAACTACGAACATTGAAAGAGCATGAAGCAAGGTTACATCGGATCAGGTTTTCCGAAAGCTAGTCATCAAGTATCATGGCAGTAAATTGCATCTTGCATCTTTCGAAGGAACAGGCCTTGACGTTCAATTCTCTTCCGAGAACCATGATGAGCTCTGATAAGAATCTCTTCCAAGCATTCTTTCTGTGCAAGTCTAACAACTATTGCGATTTGATACAAGATTGTTACAGTGTACACAAGCTAGTTCTAATCATGTTGCTTAAAAGCTTCTTCCACCCCATTTCCAAAGAAGAAAAATTACCTTACTCTTTCTCTAAAGAACGTGCAATCTTTCGTATTCCTGGGATATTTCCATAAACTACAACACAAGAATGAGTAGCATTGATCCCCTTCGACCACGAGCATTTGCGAGCTATATCGATGAGGTGGCAGATGAATCTACATATACGATCCTCAATGAGAGCTTGAAATTAAACCAAGACAAAGACCTGGCATACTTCGCTGTCCTTGCAAGTGGGTTGATTGACGCAAAATTTCCACCATTCGGCTTGCGTCAACGCATGCTAGAGATGTTCATGTCAGAGCTTGGAATTTCTCTGGCCGCCAAGATATTTTTTGATCAATCTAGAGAAAAGGAGGTACTCGAGAAAAATATAAGAAGACTGTCGGTACTCGCCAAGGAAGAAGCACAGGAAGTGCGCAGACGCCAAAGCCTCCTGGAAGGCTGCTACTTTAGCTACCCCGAAAGGAAAGATGATCAACATTGGCATTTAGCAGAGCTTCAGGAGAGAATTTTCGAGGTAGATCGTTTGTTCGGTAAAAAATAAGAACCTCTTTTCTGTCAATAATAATAGGCTCGTATTTGATTTACACTTCAATAAATGTACTTTTGGAACTACTGGGAACCATGTCGCTCACCTGGTCTTCCCTGGACAGACCACATAGATACTCGAAGAAGCCATCATTCCAATTACCGCTATCACTTTTCAAGTCTTATAAAAGGGGCTGCAAGTTACTCTAGATTGATCGCATGCAATCCACCGCTCGCCGTTGAATTCCAAATGGCCCCCTCAGCCAAGACCATCCGGTACAGCAAAACCGACGAGCTAGATCGATATTATAGATCTGTATTTTCAAAACTTTCTCAAAAAGCTATACGTACGCTTTTAAATCAACTAAAGCGACCGGAGTTTATCGGAATTGGAGCCGGTAAGACTTATCGCGTATGATACAGGAGGGAGCTAATGGGTTTTCTTAAAGAGCAGGAAGCAATGACTGAAACCGGGCGTGACGAGATAAGTACGCTTGTCAAAAAATTGCGCAAAGAGCCCTTTGAATATTTTCGTCGTGCATTGGAGCGCGCTGAAAAAACATTTGAAGAATCGGAGCATGAAGAGCTTGAACATATGCTGTCTATCAGGGAAACTGAGCTGAAATACGAAAACGGAGAATTCGGTTCGTTATATCTCTTTCGCTTGATTAAATCCCCACTAAAAAATTATTCGAAAAAGACGAAAACAATTTCAAATATGAAATTTTGATTCTGTGCTGGGAAACTTAGAGGTATTATACCTTCCTCTGAGGTATGAGCCTCAAGCGTTACGTGGCATTGCCCTGGGAAAATAATATGCTAGAATAAATTGATCTGATCTACAAAAAAGATGATGTTTTCATTTTAAGTACCTAGATCAAGTGCTATCATAAATTTCTCAAACGAATGCAAACAGCCTGTGAGAAATGAAAAACCTTTTCATTTTAGAATTTATATTATTTCTATGTTTCAAAGAGTCGGCATAGTGCTTAGGATAAGATGGAAAGCAGCAGAAACTTTGGTCAAAAAGTCAGAACATAAAGACTTGCTTTGATAATTACACCAAGTTGGGATGTCTCAAGTGATTTTTGTACATATTGATGTAGCGATTCTGCAACCTTTGATAACTCATTTTTTTTTTTTCATAAGGAGCCTATATAACTAGGAACTAAAGTGCACATTCTGAACTTATCAAGCTAGGATTGGAGAAGTCTGCTGTTTGGTGTGTCCTTATTTCGATTCTCCATGAATACATTCAGTACTAATTCACTGGCAGCCACCCGGAGAAATATCTTCTTCCAATACACATCATGCTAAAAATACAAAATGTTCCTGATGGTAGGTCATTGAATAATATTGCTATGCTGGCACCTGCTCACTCTCCAAGATACCGTTATTATCAAAAAGAATACATCTAGAGGAATAAGGTTTATTCCGATTCAACGCGATCTTGCCATCGAATGCACCAAAATCTTCCCTGCCTCGTACAACGAGTATACTCTGGCGGAGATATGTTTAGCTCTGTCAGGCCCAGGCCTTCTTAGACTCAAAAAGGAGATCAGGCCAGACATAAATAAAGAGTTGAAAATTGAGCTCAGTACCCCGGGACTTACTGCCAACCAGAATGGTTACTTTATGAAATTATTAGAGTTACTCTGGAGAGATGTTTCTGTCTGGATATTGAATGGAGAGCTCGTCGAATCTCATACTAAGGGCGCGAAGAAAAAGCTCGCAACAATGGAGACGGTGACCCCTTTTCCGGCAAATGGTGGTGGTGAGAATGACTGGTGGCAAATGGAAGTGTCGATTTATTGTCACGGGCTGGACAAGATTCCCAAGATTGGGTCGGCATATGAACTTCTGCAAGTTGTTGAGAAGGTTGCTTGACCTGGATTTTGTGTTTTTCTCCCGTGTTCACCCATTGAATGTTGGTAACTCGATCCTGCTGATTGAGAATTGAAATTTCAATCAATTCTATATTTTCTCTGCTGAGAACTTTTACTCGTTCTTTTTACTGTATCATCGGCCTTGCAAACAACCAGCGGTGGTAGACCATATATCAGGTATATTTCCGAAGCCGGAGTCTAAATTTCGTGAGAACTTCGTCTATTCTAAGGCCGCTTTGACTTTTTCTTGTTTGTCATTTCAAATTGGTTAGAGATAGGATATCCTTGAGTTTCTCGAATTTGCGAGAAGCATGAGTTACAATCATAGAGACTGACCGGTGCCGTGGACTCATACAATGAGGCAGTATCAGAGGAGATGTGACAAGTAATGATATCAGAAATACAGTCTTTTACTAATATGAAAAATGGAGAAAAAAATGCACCTTCCCAATGTAAATTCAGACCATGCCGTGTGTTGCCAGACGTAGGTTCAAAAGGGCGAGTCCGCTTCGACCATTTCAGATCCCCCAAATCAATAACCATCAGAAATCAGACGGCTAACTTGGTCATCCCACAGCATATTATATCTGGTATCTACTTCGGTCGAATTCACGCCATGATATGATGCAGAAAATTGAAAAGTGCTCATCGAAGCCAATATCCCTTCCGTATAGCCTCGTAGAGAGGCCTTTCCACGCTGATAAGCGAGCCGCTTAAAGACTTTTCCCGAGGATCATCACTGAGGGAGTCAGGAGACTCTGAGGTACGCCGAGTAAGTGCATTGATGAAATTTATCTTCGGATCAAAGCTAATGAGTACCAGATATTTATGGCCTGATAGGAGACCGGGGGAAGACATCGAATATATCATGGATCGCTCATCCGAAACGGTGCTCACGGTGCCTGTTGGTGTGCCTGGATAAAGAAGTGTGATAACACTGGAGCGTGAATCTTTCGATGGCCAAAGACGAACACCTCGACTAGTAAATCGCTCTTCCGAGCCATGAATGGGCCGACCGTCGACGCCAGTTTGTGTTTTAAACAACAAACCTGCTCCATTTTCATCATCGATTGTGCCCCTGGGTTTTCTGGATACTGCTCGTATGCGGAAAAAGTCTCGAGATTGGAATTCTTCTTCCGTTATAGGGTCGTTTACGAGATCTAAAAATGTTGCCGCCGATAGATGGTAAGTGTGGAACTTGGTGCGCGCGGTAGTGAATTCCCGTCGGGAGTGTTGATCGCAGGCGTGGTTGAACTCGGTATGATAAGAATGACATAACCGTTGGTTGGGGTACTCGGTAAATATTTCGGCGATAGTTTCGACCGGGTCGAGGTCACTCCATGAGATATTTGTGTCTCCTTTGACCGCTTCTTCCGACGTAGGAAGAGGTCCGATGTAACAAGTGCGGCGACTCTCGCTCTTCCCACCAGGCCATTCTCTGCGGCACTCAACTATGACAGGTCGACCGGTCACTTCGTCAAGGCGCATAGACAGATTGGTCCATGGATCGTCGTGTTCGCCACTCCCTTTATGCAGAGGCCGTAGAAGTCCTAAAACATACATTTGCAGACCGATAAGCCCTCCGCTATCGGATCACACTTTATTTCAATGGTTCTGAGAATATAAATATCTCCAAGGCGGTTTTGAAATGTAGTCCATAGACTTTCACCCCATCATATCATACACAACCCTATCTATCGAAGATATCGATATTCCTCTTTCCGCGCTCCTCGCCCAAAGCAATGGCATCGAGAGAGTCAGTGGTAGTGCCATAATACTTGGCTTTCGTCCAGATAATCCGTCTACGCCCCACATCTTACTCTGCCAGCGCTCTCCCAATGGTATAGATGACGATGGAGAGCTGAAAAAGAATTCCTTTCCTTGGACCTGGGAGACCCCAGGTGGTGGGGCACTGTCGGAAGACGGGACGATTTTGGGGACCATGGTGCGCGAGACTGCTGAGGAAACTGAATTGGTACTCTGGGCCGCTTCGAGCCAGGTCTACCGTGTCACTTTCCTTCACAGAGGAAATTGGATGGCGAAATATTTGGCCATAGCGAAGACTAGCGAGAAAATGAATATTCAACGATTGTGGTCTGACGAACATGACGGGCCTCGTGGCTCGGATGAAAAACCAATCCAGCTGAGGGACGACGAACATCTCGACTACGTTTGGGCTACAGAAGAACAAGTTCAAAACTGCATGTTTTACGACCCGAGCGATACGAACAAAGCAGGAATTGTCATGATCCAAAGCAACAAAGATGTTCTTCTGGACTTTTTCTCGTGGCTGAAGGACGATGGTGCTTGCATGGAGTACCCTCTGCCCGAGCTGCCACTGCAGAGCGATCAGAGATAGCATCTGATTCGACGTACCCGCTGGATACAGTTGGTAACTGTTTGAACTGTCGTGTCAATTTCGGTTTCTGTTTATATACATGTCTCGTGACCACATTGCATTAATCGACCGAAGAGGTCGGCCTGCAGAGTATGAGGAGCAGAGATAACATGAAGGATTGAATCTATGGGCCTCAGTTTCCGGCTAGCTACATACCACCAATACTCTCGTTTATTTTCTGGTAGATTTAGCATAGCAAATAATCACGCGGAATCTGGGAAGGAAATTTCTACAAAGCTTTGAATAGGATCAAGTTCTAGTCAATGACGCACGTGGGATTCAGGAAGGATAATTTATTGAGCCAATTCCGTAGCCCATATTCTCTCGTCGTGGCAGGGCATTGATCAGCAGCCGCGAAGACGAATATCTACACGGAAATGTCTCGAGTATAAAGCAACCGATTCCCCATCTAAAAAATTCACTGCAACCAATATTTTTTTGGCCCAGTCACTAAAGCCATGCAACGCGCGTCGGAAGTTAAAGTCTATCCACCTGCACGGTGTACATATAGCAGGTATGCCAATTCTGAGTCAAATGGCCAATACAGTTATTAATGGAGTAGCTTTTGCTTCGATGTGATTAAAACCAGTGGTAGATTCTCTGTATGGCCTACATTGGGCTTTCATACCCAATGTCAATGTACGTTGGATATCCAGTGGACCGACTTCTCACCGGCACAGGTTTTTCTCGTGATCATGAAAATGCCAAATCACAATGTCCATTGCGGTGAGGACCTGAGGTACCTCTTAGATATCATGCATACAAGGCTGAGCAGACCCGAAGTCGGTGGTACAGATGAAGGACATTTTACTCAACTTGCTATGGGCTTTGGAGAGAATTATCGCATGATGTCACGCGCGGATGATAAGTATGAGGCTTCGCCAGTCCTGTCCCGGGTCGAGGTGCGGCTGCTAGACATTCAGCTAGTGTTTCCTGGAATTTGGAGGGTCACTGCGTTGCGGCTGTTTGCCCTTGGTTGTGTGACTAAACAGGGAAGCTTAGCTGAGCTAGCTGGAGTTTTTTATGCTAAACCAGCAATGAACGATACTCGGCCCCCCCACGGCTGAAAATAGAAAACAAAAGTACATGGAAGAATCGGATCTCATAGAAGACAAGATCCTTTACCCTATTTCGACTCGGCAACAAGACTAGAGGTACACTGAGCTCGTATTATAAAGCTCCGGTGGCCCATGTCCAGAATTGAAAGATTACTGCCGGTTGACTGTTAATTCGCTGCTACTCGTGACTTAAAGAATTGCACGGCCACGCACAACGCCAACCTGGCAAAAGAGCCAGGTCTCTGCTTTCCAGAACGAGAGAAGTTGCGAGCCTGCCGTGTCGACGACGGAAAATTCGTTGCCGGGGTAAAGGTGCTCCTTGTGGAACATGTACGTCTCGCAAGATTGTCCGATTTTCCATCAATATCCCGATGTCGCACTTCTATCGTGGCTTTCCCTTCTTTTCGCCGTCCTGGTGCTGGCAGGCAAGCGGAGGAACACCCAGATAAAATTTCCCTTTGTAGCGTCTTATCAAAGCGCAGACGTCATAGACTGCGAGCTGTGCTGCGATCGGTCCCAAACTTGCAATGAACATCGGAATATCTGGATTAGGCTCAAAATGCTGTTATCCGTGAACTAGCAAGTATATGACAATACCTCCGAGCAAGAATTCTTTCGAAGTAGAGGGCAATTGGTCAGTGCCATAATTCTATTAGAATTTCTAGGCCGACAATGCAAACATAGAAGCCTTCGCCATTGGAAGATCAATTCACCTTATTTCATTTCAAGCTACTCGAAGTGCCAGACAACATTATGTACAGTACACGATACGGCCTCTTCTCAGAATGACCCTGCTCGGACTTGCTAGTCAGTTGTCTTACATCGGATCGTCTCTCACCGAGTTCTCTAATGAGCGCATCGTTTCGGATTCACAATTTTTTTTTTAAAAAAAACGGGCTGTATAATTGGATATTTTGAAATATACAAATATACATTTCACTATCTCTTTCTCTGTGCTTATATGTAATTCCTCGAGAAGTGTCTTCACGAAGCCACTACACCGCATACGTGGTGTTACGCAGCCACGTGCGTCGAGAGTGCTGAAGTAATTCGCAGAATATCCCGGTATTGGATCGACGGTCAGAGCTGCAAGGCCTTTGGGTGGCATTCCCTAGGGTTTGGGAAGTGCTATGCTGTTGCGGCGGAGAGGACTCTACGCCAAGTGAAGGGTGATGGAGATGAAGTGATTGGGCTCGGATGAGAATGAAAATGCGGTACTGTAATAGTTCTTACGACTGAAAGACTTTTAATTGATCTTTGAATCTGAAAATTTATGATATGAGATCTGGTTAAGCAACAATTCATTATACCAGACTCGCATATCTTCTTAATCTCTGAACACGAAACATCATCAGCCGTTAGATTTAGTAGAGCTGTCACGGCCGAACATCGACAATTCAAGACTTTTTCTTTTGATTCCCTTGTAAAGAGTACGATAACTGGACAAAAACTCGTATTGCATCAGGAGGCTAAACGGAGGCCATCCGTTGTTACAAATCCAATAGAGGACATGTTCTTGCAATTGGAGATATATTTCTAGGTCTCTTTTGAAATAAGTTCCGCTTTAACGGAATCTTTTTCTTGAGATAGCCTCATTATACTATTCTTGATCCCCCCCATGTCGAGCAACAAAAGAAAGGCTGTCATATTGGAAGGCATGCTAAAACAGGCGGACAAAAGCTACGTTTGTCCAGCGTGTTTCAAGTCATACTCCCGAATGAGCGACTTGAGAAATCACCTCAAACAATTGAAGGACGCCGAAAATCATAGAGGTCTTTCGGAGATGGAGGAATCCGAATTCCGACGCAGCTACGCGAAGATAATCGGGTGGAAACCAACAGACAAGGAGGCAGAGCTGGAGCTTCCACGCGAACGATTCGCTGCTTTTACACGAGACGTTGTCGTTGAGAAAATAGCCTCCCGGACAAAGGACCTTTTACAATCAAAGATCCAGATATATCTGCAAATTGCTCTGTCCTCTGGAATGGCCCACGTGTGTCCCGAATGTGTTGACCAGGACTTGCGGTATTTCAACAAGATGGTCGATTTCGATGCCCATTGTTGGGAAAGAAACGACCAAACACACATGGGCCTGTTATCGAAGACCCCGGCAGACTTTCTTCCTGCCTACCTCCAAGCAATGGGGCTCCCCCACATCGAAGAGTTGCCCCCTGGAAGCGATAAACCGGGTCGCTGGACCAATGAACGATATTTGAAGACAGATTATGTTTTCCAAACAAAGAAAAGGTATTACAAGAAAGAGAGAAAAAAAAAACATGCAAGCTCAATACTAAGCACGCGCGACCTAGGTTTGTTGCGCCGGAAACTGCAGCTGCCCAGGAGCAGGCTATTATTTAATCGAGATTGGTTGTTATTCGTGTATCCGTGAAACAACGCAGTTATGCCTGCAAATACAGGGATGTGTGATTGAGCTATTCTAGCATCTGAAGCACGCAGTCAAAATGGCCAAGAAACTAGATTTTGGAGGCGAATCCTCCTTCGCCCGCACGCAGTCCATATACCCATAGGTTTCCGGCATGACCATATGATTCACGTGTGTTTCGCATGTTGGACAACAATAAGTCTCAATGTAAAGTGAAAGATCCCTTGGAACCACTTCTGCGATGGTCGAATCTTTGCGCGCAAATGCGGTCAATGCAGGTAACAGAAAATGCAACGCATGGCTCCCGCCCATGCCGCTGCGATAAGCTTGATAGCCACCAGTGGGGTCGATAAGCTTTTTCGTACTTACGTGAGCATTCTGTTTGTAAGCCGCTCGCTTGTATACCTTGCACTACAGCTGTCAAAGAATAGTAGTTGTGAACTTTGTGGAGGGCCTGAAAGGGGCTGTCAGAGCTGATATTGTTGTTGAGAAGGTTCCAACATACCTGAGCAAGACCATCAATTTTAGATTCCAGCCCAATCTCAGCAGCCATGCACTCTTTCACCTCCACCATCAGCTGATTCCACCGGGAGCTCAAGATGGAACGCGCTTGGGCTCCATCTTTGGTGAAGGCGATCGGCACATATTCTCTGAAAAGGGCCATGTCTTTGCGTGATATGAGGCTCGCAAGAGCTGGAACGTCATTCCATCGCAAATTCTCCAGAAAATCATTTCTGTTGTTGAGTGGCGAGCTCCAGTCTGCCTCAAGTGGGCTCAAAAAATCGTGCAAACGAATGCCCAAAACCTGCAAGTCTTGCAATATCCTTTCCGCCGAGTCTGCTCTCTCAAGAACCTCCTGGAGCGGCCGAGTTATAAATTTGTCAAGAGATGCTTCTAGCCTGAAAGCTAATTCGTCTACTCCGGTTCCATTTAGGCCCTCACATGCCGGTCTTTGCAGTACTGCTCGGCCGGCCTTCTGCCAAGTGTATTCGATGGTGGTGTAGATGAGAGGGTCGCTATTGGACCTTTCCAGGCTCTATTCATGATCAGAAAATCTATTAAAAGCCCGCGCAGACAGTAAATATTGTTGTGATATGAGGCTTGCGCAGGCCAGGAACAAAACCGCAACATCGGAAATAATCCCGGGTTGCATATACGAAGAATCAAGTTGATTGCAAATCAACTTGACCTTCTCGTTGTATATATAGCCTCCTGTATCGCCTCAAGAATAAATAACTCAATATATACCTCTGAACTACAACAAACATCAATTACCTGTTTGAGATTATGCAATTGGTTCAGATCCTGCGGTGACTTGATCAAATCAAAATAAAGCTTGGCGTCAAGAACTTCATATGTCCAGAGGTATGTCTTGATTTCGTCAGAGGGTAGATCCAAAGCTTTTCGAACGAAGCTGCTGTAAGGGATCTGCTTTAATTTCTCGAGGCTTCTTTGGGAGAGGTCACAAGCAACCTTGGAAGGGCCTTTGTTCAAGATTTCCTCCAAGCCTGTTTTCCAAAGCTTTTCACGTGGAATGGGAGTTTCCGCGCCGGGAGAAGTGCTCAGTACTCTGGACGCAGAGCTACCACTATTGGCGAGGTCAAAACAGTGCAATTGATGTTTGTCAGTCTCACGGTTGAGAAGTTGTTGGAATTCGTTCTTGCGCCAATATCTTTTTTTGGCTTGAATATTTTCTATCTCTCGGTCTGCTTCATTGCTTGGATCATTCATGGAGACCTCGTGCTCTGTAGACGCGGTGCTAAAGGATGAAGAAGGTGCTTTGTGGATGGCTGTAGTGTCATCTCAGTTAGTGAAGGCATAACAGCTTGTGACTGGTGATGGGGATGGAATAAACCTTTCTGGCTGCCATCGCTAGCCTGCGATATGCCGTCCATCTTGACCGAAGACAATTGAAAATAAATTATGAACCAGTGCCAGGTGACGGGGTCATAGATATACCAATCTGCAGACGCTATGCATCGTTTGCATGATCGCTGGCCCTGTGCGACCGGAGTGGTTTGCCAATCACAGGTCGTCTGAGCCCCTGAGCCTCCAGTGCAGCCCCCAGGATACTGTAGTTACTTTTGTCGGTATAAGGCTGGCGTTCATCGTCGGAGGTCTAGATCTGTAGGTTGGCTGGGATTGGATTGATGGGTTTATTCGGCTGCATTCTGATTTCGCAAGGATCATCGGGCTCCACTATGCGGTTTCTGGGAATGTAAAGATACCGGCTGATTACGGATGGCTTTCAATACATCGTAATTTTTTGAATCAAACCTACTCTAAAGCCGCATTGAAAAGTCCGGGGACCGCGCGAGGCGGGAAATTGGCGACCTCTTTTCTAGGTGTGACGGTTAAATTACAACTATTCTCCTGAGTTGGCAGTACTCCCTCACAAAATTGTTAAAAAGATCAACATATCAATCTATCGAAGGAATAAACTCTACATTCATCACCGATTTTCCTATGATTTGGGAGAAACATTCAAAGAACGTTTTTAACTTGACGAACACCTGCACGCCCAGTATTTGAGGAAACCGTTCCCTATCTCAAATCAGAGACGTCATTGATGAACATGAACGTGATACCATCTAGCGGCTCGAGAAGGTGGTATGTATTTCTGTCACTTCATCCTTCCTTCTCTTGCTGATGTACCATTTTAGGCCGGTATCACAGTCTCTATGCCAAAGCCATAACTCTCTATCAAGCCATGACAGCCAGCCCACCAACATACTCAGAAAGACCCCACATCATACCAACCGAGTGGCAGCACGATCTGATCAGTTGAACAGCGTTGCAGGTTGCAGTGATGCTTTCATCGGCATGGAAACGCAGCTCTCCATGCGGCCCAATATTCCCACAAAAGACGAGGCACACCAGGCTGCGGAGCTCGCATTGCAATATTTTCAAGGACACCTCAATACTCTCTCTTCCTATGAGCTCAATTTTCTGTACCAAATTCGGGAGCGTCTTCAATAAATCCGTTAGGCCATTTTGAGCCACCGCGTATCTGTCGTCGATGGGATTCGCGGTGGTCTTGCGAGTTCACTCGGCAAGCATATATGTCCGAAGCCCACTCATAGCCAAATAATGCTATTGCAGTATTTCCCTCCACAAATAGCTAGCTTAGAAAACATATAAATCCTCGATTGTATATTTCTGGCCATTCCTCACCATGGTGCTGATACGAGATCGGGTCGTGGGGTCATGGGATCAGGGCTTTCGGAGGAAGATAGTTAATAGCAAATAAATAAGGCTAGATAGCAGCATTAATTCTTTTTTTTAGGGGTCAAAGGTTTGGATGCGTCTTTCGAGACCACATGCTGTCAGATAAAACTTCTCTTGATCGGATATGCGTGGAGAATTGAAGGAAAACCTCAATACCAATCAACAATGTCCTGTGGTTTATGTGAAAAAAATACTCGGATGTGATTCCATTGGATTGTGAATACTACATCAATTCCACCCGCAGGCCACGAGAATTACCATTGTTGGGAAGTGAAGCCTGAAGTATTGACTTGGAAGTAGTGGTGCAATATCTCCCAGCACGTTTGAATACACACCAACGGAATCCATAGACCTTTATTGACACACCCACGCGGCTTGGCATCCAGCATATAATAAGGCTCCTCCCCTCTTTCGTTTTAAGGCGTAAGTGTATGATACTTGTGCTTTCAATCGTATTCGCAGGGAGTCAGTAAAAATGAAAAAAAGCTGGTCTTTTTTCGGTTCAGGTCTGATTAGAGGGTGTCGAGATAGCAGCTCTCTTGGTGACGAAAGTTTTGGCTTATCTATAGAACCGTGACTTGCCTCATAACCTGCAAAGTCGCAGCAATTGTCGGTGACTGAGGGAAGATCCAAGGAAATTAACTCCCAAATTTGACATCTTGCATCGCACAGTCAAAGTCGTGCTGCTGCCCATGGTTACACCAAGTTTTCCTCGGTGATGAACCAGCCATATTGGGTGTTTTTCCGATGCGGTTGTATCTTTTCGTGTTGATCAACAGTTGTGTTCCAACATTCAAATTTCAACAACTGCCTGTGCAAAATTTAGCCAGATTTTGTCGCAGAGGAATGTATATAGCTAAAGACTGGTGGTGAATGTTGAAAAGCGGGATCGAAGCTTTTCTGCGGCTATGCGACGACTTCTCAAACGGTGCCAAGAGAGGCAAAATTCTTATCATATACTGTGTCACCAGAAAAACCTGTTATCAAAGATGATAATTGATCAATCCGGTGGTGAATACAAGAGGTTCGGTGTCGCTCGAAGAACATCAAATAGACTACGTGCAAGATGCATTATCCATTCAAGGAACCCACTTCTGAGAGGGATCAACACGATGGCTGCAGCTCCTGAAACCTCCTAATTACGATATAATCGAGGGACAAAGGTCAGTCAAGACAAGAATCAGTCTGTGTACTGTAACAATTATCCACACATCGTCAGTTCCTCGTATTCACATCCCACCTCGTTGGGTCTCGGCCTCGATCGATCCTTCTGGATAGATGTCCACGACCTAGGTATATAGATGTTGGCTTAATTTCAGCCAAGTAGCATTCCTTAAAAGCTAGACCGGATAAAAGGATAATGTGTAATGTGTCCTGATGGATCGTAGTACTTTTCAATGCTACCACCATTTGATCATATGAGAATCAGTGTTCGAACTTCTTCCACTATGTAACGATGATGCGACCTGCAAGCATATGTAGAATCAAACAAACAAGTCATACTCTGTGCCGGCCTTCCAACCTGAAATGGGCAAGTAGTGTACTTGATTGAGTTTCGGTATGAATAGCCCGGGTGAGAATGCACGGAAGAGCGAGGAGAAATCTTTCGGCAAGGAGAACCCCCCTCTATCATGAACTGCGTGGACCTACACTCTTCTTCCCACCCACTGATGATATAGCTGAATTCCACACCTCAGAGTATTTCCCGATAAAAGTACCACCCGCAATATTTATAATATCAATGGTACGAATCTTGTCCGGCTTGAGAAGTTGACAAGGCTGCTTCTTTAGTGAAGAGGCTTGGATGAATAAAATTCAACCCGTACGCCCCCACCCACCAAAGTTGTATACGGAGAATTCGTCAATGCACCGTCTCCTTAGCTATACTAGGCTTCTGCTCATTTCGGTGTCCTACATCATTGCATTGATACTAGTGGTTCCATGGCCCTCGCCTGGGTAATGGGCTGCGTCCCTCAATCATCTCTGGTGCCTATCTGGCTTGTCTCAGCAGCTCAGCCTCATCATTCCATCCCTTCCGATCATTAGCTGATGTTAGAGCTAGCGCCATTTCATACGGTGGCACCCCGGAAACGCCACATCCTTTGGGGTCAGAAAAGTATAAGTAAAGATCGACAGAGGAAAGTTTTTTCTGACCTTTAAGAAATTTCCTATTAACCCTCACATACCTTGCGAATTGCATTTTACTCTGCATCTACCCACCACAGCCATGAACCCACCCCAACTTCGCAACGTCTATGACGGGTATCTGTTTTTCAGAGCCGATCCTCTCCCGCAACAGAGTGCGACATGGGCTCGGGTAGAGCGCACTCGGATGGATTTTACCCAACCTGAATTCTATGGTATGATCTACGATCGAGCTTTCGAGATTTCCGCGGCAAGCCAGTATCAGGCTCTGTCGGATGAGCGGCGTGCCCATGTTAATCAGCTGATTCATGATCGACGGCATCAAGACCCCTCTGGGGAGTGGAGTTGTGCCTATGCGAAAGAACACAGAAGGTTTGTCAATGACCGAGATACTCTTGAGCGTGACGATGACGCTGTTTCAATGACAGTCATACTCATGCAAAGGCCATGGACTCCCAAAGCCTACCCAAGAACCCCGATGGGTGATTTGGTAGACCTTCGAATATCCTCATTTCTCAATGGCCAGGGGCACTATGGGAGCGTTTCAACAGTGCCTGGTTTTCCAGCCAAGCACCCGCTTCCTCACAACTATGCTATGGGCAATGTGTACCAAGAGCCCACGCTATCATCGATGCAGGAGCGAGCCAGCATGGCCTGCCTGCGAAAAGCACTTTCCGACCGTCAGCCCAGAATGATGAATCGATCTGCTCTACCCGAAGGGTAAGTATTTCAGTTGTAGGAACTCCGTGCGGAACTCCATGCTAAAGACCCGCGAAATGATTGCTGATTTAAGGTTGTGAACAGAAATGCGATGGCCCATATGGAAGATGAAAATGAGGATGAGGATGACTCTGAAGAGACCGATGGTGATGAAGACAACACCTGCACATGCGATGAAGCGCAGAAGCCAAGCATCTCGGACCAGAAGACCCCGGATAACAGAGACTGTGTGTCTGGCCGTGGAAGGCATGAATTTCAGGGACGTCGCTCCAAGCATGATCTTCAGTTACTTAGGTCGCGGGTCGCTAGGGCCAGGGCTCACAGGAGCCAAAAGCGGGTGCGGACCAAGCGACCAGGGCTTCAAAAACCGAATTATAAATGGGTCAAAGCCTGTCGGGTTGAGGACACAACTTGTGAACAACCAAGAAATATTCGATGTCAACGTCGCAGTTCTTGTTAAATTCTTCACTCGAAATGCGGTTGGAACAGCCGTATCCATTACCGAATCTCTTTACTCAATTGGTCCTCTTCTTTTATTCTTCTTTCTAATACTACATGACTCCCTTAATAACAAACCTTGAACTCTTCTTCCCTGCATATACTCAATTTCTCGTGTCTCTTATCCCGTGCTTCGTTGTGTTTACCGGATAATTCCAGTTGGCAACGACAATGTACGTTACCGTCCCTTCAGATGCTTACCCGCACAAGACCCTGAAACTGTGGAAAGGGTCCACGTAGGTGAGGTTAGCTGCCCGATACTCTCCATCCCGGTATCGATCTACAGACTAACCAATTTTCGAAAAGGTGGCCGCATCATCTATCTGCAAATTAATTTCTGATCGGCACGTCGACCAATATTCAGCCGAAGGGAATTTGTTCTGCCTAGGCCATTTTGCCACACTGGCACCTCGTTAAAGTGAGGCTGCGCTGTGCGATTGATGAACAAGCCTCATTTGCCGAACTGGTGGTGAAATCTTCTCTTCTGTCATGGACGCATGATCAGTACATTAGTGCGACAGGTTTAAAATCTGATTTTCATGAACATAATATCGTGTTTCCGAGCCCTAGCCAGAAATTTCTTTGGCTCCCTCTGAACAAATCACTGTTTTATTTGTTTTGTTTTTTTTTCTAATTGCTGGTCGGAGATCAGATTGGCATACAGCCCAACGCGACCCAGTTGGGAAAGACGCGTTGCATCGCGTGGAACTCTCTCACCGCCTTGCTCTGAGCGTTCGTCATCGGCCAATGCGGCTCGCGGAGCTAGCGACCTCTTCTTCTCTCCTCGCTAGAGTTGCATTCCAGTTAAAGCGGCAAGTTCTATGGCTTGACGGTGAATGCACTTGCGCTATACTGAGAAGAGGTTGTAACGACCCAATAAAACTCCTACATGCTGAAAGAAAATTGGTCGCAATGAACCCTTTCTGATCTTTGCCCATTATCTTCCCCCTGGAGGACCCTTTTTTTCGTATACGCTTCCCTGTGGCTCTGAGCAGCTAATAATCATCTTCCCTGGGATCCTTTTTGTTCACTGCATCTTGCTTGAAGCGGAATTCGGAGCAGCATTGATGCGTAGCGTCCATCTATCTCTTTGTTGAAGACGTTGCTGAAAAATCACGCTGGTTGCTCATACCTGCGCTGGCCCATCATGACTTCGGCTGTAGCGGAGCTGGAAAGCTACCTTCAGTCAATGTTGGCTCTGAGACCACCTGGAGCTACAGGCTCCATGGTCTACAGCATCACTAAGCTATGCACAATAAATGTTCAGGTGCGAGACATTCTCCTACTCTCAAGACATGCCGCGTGTTGAGATGGCTGAGAATGAAGAGATCGTTGCGATGGTTTTGATACGAGGCTAATTTTGCATAACAGGATGAACCAGTTCTCATTGAACATATCTACACTCACTTCAAGAATGCACCTGGCACTCATAAGTTGGGCGTTCTCTATGTGATAGACTCTATAGTCCGGCACTGGATTGAAAGCACTCGCAAAGCTGGCCGGCCTCCGCGGAGCGCCGCACCGGATGGGACTTTCGCTGCTGGTGTTGATCGAATTACTAAGTTGTTGCCCGTGTTGATGACCGATATCATCTCCGGCGCGCCAAAGGATCACGAGGTACAAATACACTTGAATCAAAATCTTCGGCCAGACAACTTTCAATCATTGCTTTGTGAGTTTTGCTAGCTCGGGAGGTTTTGTTGCTCACGCATGTGTCTCTGGTCACTTTAGGAAAAGATCAAGAAGCTCGTTGACATCTGGGAGAGCTGCGGCTCCATTCCATCCTCCATGCTTGCTTCATTGCGCGACAAATTCAAGCTCCTGCCGCGTGGTAAGATTTCAATCCCATTCTTTTACTTTCGTCGTCTTCTGATCCACTCACCTGTATTGTGGTTTCCCAGATGTGCAAATTTCCACGCCACAACGCTTGTCAGCCACATGCTTTAACTCTTCAAAAGTCCCAGCTCAACTACAGCCTGTCAATGGCTCACCCGAAGCGGCAAGCCCCCAAGCGGCAAGTTCTGCTTCTCATGCTAACGCGTCTGCTGCCCTGACCCCATCAGTCTCCGCTCTGGAATCCACTTCAACTTTTGATCCATTTCTACTACCTCCCACGACGCCTATACCCTATACAAGTGTTAGATCTGGTGGTGGCGTGGCTGGCCCATTTGCCGCTTCGAGCGGTCTTGGCCAGTGCCCTGTTGCGTTACAGTCTCAGAGTCAGAGTCAGTCTGCGAATCCTTTGGCAGCCACGCTTCCACAGTCGCTGGCAGCCGCTCCGGCTATGTATGGAAACGTGATATTGCAGCCGGGGTTCTCGCAGGACCAGTGGGCTGCAGCTCTGCAATTTTCCAACATGAATAATGTTATGGGCGCTGCAAACCCTGCTCAGCTGCCTGGCCTTGGCGTCATATCCGGTCAGGGCGCTCTTGGAAGGGGTCAAACCGACGTGCAGAGCTGCGACGATCTTGAATATGAGAAAGTGGATAGCCACGGGTATCGTCCAATTTCTCTCTCTCCGGATTTTCATCGAAATCACAATGCTTTGCCCTCTCGCCGCCACGGCCAGCCGTTCTGCCACGAATATCATGGCAATTTTCAAAGTCATCGGAGCAAGGCATACCGTAGGGGTAGTCCACCGGATAGGGGACGCCAGTCAGAGTCCCCACGTCGAAAAGGCTATAATGTCTTTCCGCCATGTCCAAAGCTCGTCGAGTGGGACTACTCCATCGGCCCGGGGAACATCAAAATTCTTAGTCGCACCCTTACTGTCACCGGCGTTTTCTCTGAGGTTTATCTTCGTTCGCACTTCAGCACTTTTGGCGTCGTTCAAACCTGCATTATCGATGGTGATAAGCGTCGTGCTTTCATTAAGATGCTTAGTCACCAGGACGCGGTGAGAGCTCGTGAAGGAGCAGGAACTTACCGCTCGGATCAGAGGCCACTCCGCACCCGATGGGGCGTCGGCTTCGGCCCGCGTGACTGCAGCGACTATGAGACTGGCATCAGTGTTATTCCAATCGGCCGACTCACCAATGCGGATCGCAAATGGCTGCTCACGGCGAAGTATGGTGGCACCGGAGGCTGCCCAATCAAATCGGGAATGGTAGTCGAGGAGCCAGACATTGAAATCGGCGCTGGCGTGTCATCCAAGGCCATCAGCCGACGCGTCGCAAATGGCATTGGCGGGCACCATGGCCGAAGTTCAGGCGGCTTTGGTGGCCGCGGTCGTGGTCGCGGTAGTTCCTTAAAACGTCAAGGCTTTGGCAATGGACGCTAAGACTTTCTTCTTTGGCACAATTGACAATCCAAAGCACCAATCCGAACTTGAATGGCGTATCTACAGATGTGCTTTCAGTTTACTGAACCGCACGGTCCGATCGAATAATACAGCTGCAAATATATGAATCAACCAACATCAAAACTATGAGCTTGCTCCATTCACCGTAGCATCAAGGTATTACTTAGACAATACCCGGTCGGCGCTTTATCTTCAAAGGTACAGTTATCTACTCGTGTCTGCTTCATACTATGACAGTCCTCTGCAAACTCTCCCAAATCAGGTTTCAAACTTAGGATTGCCAAGAATGTGTCAACGCTGCCTTTAATGGTCCATGTTTATTTCATGTCATTCGAATTGCTAGAATAGTCCATATCGTGCCTGGGCGTCCCACGATAGCCGGCACCTGCAGTAAGGCCCTGCAAAAGCGCACATATCTCGATGTTTCCTCTTTTCCTAGCTTGGCCCAGGGGAGACACACCGTTATCGTCGTAATTCTCGGGCTCCAGGTCCGGCAGCTGCGCCAGGTGAAGGATCAGTCTTTTGTTGCCAGTATTTGCTGCATGCCATAGTACCGAGCGGCCTCTCTGATCTCTTTCATTCACAAGAGTCTTCCAATTTAGAAGTAGAAGATCTATGATCTGGTTTCTCTTGGGGTCTAGGCCGTCGTATGTCATCGTAGCCAGAAGAAGTGCGCTTCTTCCCGCGGAATCGAGATAATTAACGTCAATGTGTTTGTGATCTAAGAGAATTTCTATGGCAACAGGGTCGTCATATATCACAGCCAGATGAAGTGCAGTGTATCCTCGGTCATCTCGAATGTTGACATTGAGTTGTGGATCTCTCAGAAGGATCCTCAAAACCTCGTGTTGTTGAAATTCAAGCGCTGTCAGGATTGGAGATAGAGCTATCGGACTCCGACCATTGATATCAATATCATGTCGACAAAGTAGCTTTCGAACGGTAGACACTTTTCCTTGCATGATAGCAAAGGACAGGGAGGTCTGGGCCCATTGATCAAAGTGAGTGGCATCTAGAGATTTTTGGCATGGCAATCGACCAGCCAGAGTCGCAGCTCCTTGCAAGGCTAACGTTATCAGACAGGTTAGTAGCTGCCATGAGTCTTCCTTATGCTTGAGTCAGTGGGGGTGACTTACAAATGACAGATGGGAGATGAGCCATATTTTTGATAATAATAAGATTATCTTGCTATTCTGTTGTCTCGATGATCCGGACTTGATGAAAGGAGCTCTCGTTGCTGTGTTTTGCGAGGACTTTTATCCAGCACAAAGACATGAAAGGCAGTATTTGTAGCAAGGCCTTTGTTGCGATCAACTTTGATCTCAAGAATGTTTGATTTGTATTCACATATTTTCACATATGAGCTCTGATGGTTGGTTTGCTCCAATTTTCGGTCCTATTCAGAGCTCATGCCATAATTTATGGACCGCTGTGGTCTTCTAAAGAGATTGATTCCCCGGAGCAAGCTGTCTGCTCCTGGGAATGAAGCATTCAAAGGCTCACGTATCTGAAGTTGCGGATTGTGTGCTTCGGAGCATTGACTACCAAAAGTAGAAAACCACAAGCTGATCTTAGATACAAGGCTTAGCGCGAGAAACAGAAGAAGGTTAGCTTCTCCTTGTTCATAGTAGCGCAGATGAGCCATGTGAGACGGTACCATGCACAAATCGTCTTTACTGCATGCCAGTCCCTGAAACATTTTAACATAGTTCCCAGGAGCTCGATGTAGACATTGCCTTATGCGGGCTAAAAGCTGATGGTAAGACATTTGTGCTACAGAACAAGAATGACAATTTGCCTCCTCCTCCTAGGATATCATCGGGCTCTTCTATCGTTCAATTACGGTCGCTTTATTTAATGATCTGAATTTCGCCATCGGCGCTCTTTTCTCACTGCGACACATCTATCTCCATTTCGCTTGTCATGGCTTCCGAAATTAACTTCCAAGCACTGCTGATCACCGTGCTTCTATTCGCTTTGATTGCTAGGTCCCTTCTTTTGTGGGTGTTCGAAGATGATTGGCCATTTCACAAGATGGACTTGGCGCTATGCGTCTCATCCATTCTCCTGTCCGCTGTATTGGCAGGGCTTTGTTGGAGCGAGGATAAATCAACATGGACTCGAATTCTTTTTGGAATTCTTTCAACAATTCCTTCCATGCAAATCGTTCGTCATAGCTTGAAGAAAGTCAATTCCATGCTAATACTAGCCTAGTTTCTCCGCATCGGTTTTCAGCAGCTCAACAGTCCTTTCATAAATCGATCGACGCCGGTCTTATTGAGAATTTATGCTTTGACATCAACAGCCTTAAAGATAATTAGTACATTCATTGGGATATTCACGCTAGATGTAATTCAGTCCATCACCCTCTTCCTGCTTTTCCTGGATCATCTCAGTGAAATGGCATGGTACCTGTCGTTAGTAAAGAGAGCCACGCAGGGTCGGAAGAAACTACATGTTATTGTGACTCATTTATCAAACAAGGGTCTTATATTGCTAGGAGCCGCTATCTTTGGCGCGGTTTCACGAAAATGGGAAATTGCGCTTGAGGTATTTCTTCCTGATTTGAGCCTACATGATGGAAAAGCTGACACAAGTCAGATCCAGCTTATATTTTGCACCATGTCGGCAATTTCCAATCAGTCCATTGAGTGATATGCAACGAAAGCTTGAGGCACATCTGTTGAACACAAATGGGCTATAATTCGAAAAGATCAGCCAACTCAAAATCTCATCGCTGTAACAATCGGTTAGCCATATGGTGAGGGTTGTAAGTAGAGCAAGGTAAAATTGCTGTGAAGCTTGATCATATCTTTCTCATGCGGGTGATATTGTATCTACTGGAAATGATTTTACACTATGTATATCAAGGGGCTGATCCAATCGAAATCACTCGAGAGCTGTAACCTTACAAAATTAGCATATGTCAACTTCCGATGAGATCTTGAAATCTTGATAGGGGGCTAAGGGGGGGGGTAGGGGATTTATATGACCTTATACTATGAGGATACCCGACCTTTCTCAAGCAGCGGTCCCATATAAGCAGTACAGGACTGCTCTAGAGATTTCGAAGATTTGAGAAAAATCGGTAAGAGTACATAGACGGGAGCAAAGAGGACTCGCGATGCGGCGGCTGTCTATTTGGGGGTCACGCCACGCCGTAGACCATACAGTATCCACTCATTAAGTTGCGGAAGATCGGGTAGGTACAAAATCACTGCTTATGGCCATGCATTATGCTACGGCTGGGCCAATAGGAACCCAGGGGTGCAACAGGGCTTGATGTTTATGAGAAACGATTCGAGTGGAGGAAAGTTCTGATTGTTGATCAGTGTTTTGACGTCCCCCGTGGGAATAACGTGGCCATCAACATCAATGGATGTTGAGACCTGTTGCTGATTTTTCTGTAATATTGCCGGATGTATTGAAACGGTGACAACGACAGGAAAACGTTCGTGATTGATCTGCAGCCATAGACCATCGTAAAAGAATCAGGATGCCTCTGGAAGTTACGTACCCTTCATTCTGTTGAAATGTTGAACCATTTGCAGTTCAACGACCAACTCTGTTGGTGAGCTCACAATTCGCAATGTCCGTCATAAAGACGCTAGCGGAAAGGCTGGCTACAATACTATAAGTACCCCAGTCCCTCGCCGGCAGAACGATATTTCTCATTCATCCTTTCCTTCATCCTGAGTCGAAGAATATGGAAAGCCTTTTGGCTCTATCGGCTATCATCTGATATGGACTGAACCCATTTTGCGATGTAATTATGATTGAACTGACTTCTTGTATCACACCCAGCTTGTCTAGCTCGATACTAAATCTACGAACAGCAAGTGAGTGTAGCTGCTCGGTCATCTGGAACTATGCTAACCTAGAATATGCTCAGGACCAGCCCTTCTCTTCTATTCCTCTAGGAGCCACTTGATGGACCCTGAGTGACCTTGGAAAAATGATCAAGATTGCAAGCACGGTGCGTTATGAGTTGCCTTTATAAGCTACCAACTAATGGTCAATGATAGATCAAGGAAAATCTTTATGCAGCCATTTGGACTTCCCGGGTACAGCACATAGTAGCAGCTGATATTGTCAGTTTTATCATTGCGGCAATCTTGATCATATTGACCTTGTGCTGACGACTTAATGTATAGGAAGGCATACTTCCCATCGCGAACCGCTCAATACTTCTCAAGTCACCTTGGTACGCTGCCTCTGCCTAGTACCATGGCCGGAGCTGCATTTTGGATCTCAGTGGGGCTTGACTTTCATCTTGTTGTGATCCCTTTCCGTCAGACGAGATTGCTGATGCTTCTTTCTAGTCATGGAACAAAAGTCCAGGTGACACTCGCCGCGACCGAGCCGCACTTCCCCATCGTCCTCAAATCAAGGATGTACGACTGGCCGGTCGACTGACTCCCAATGTCGTCCACTTTGCTATACCAAGACACATACTTGAAGACACATACTTGAAACTTCCTTTCCGCTCGTGTTCCCAGGGAGGCTCAGTTCCCTTTGAATTGAATAGGGTGGGCTCCCACCAGTTTCATCTCTTCCAGTTTCATCCTATTTGACCAAACATTGACTGTAACTAAAGAGGCCTCCATCGGATGACTAGGAATCTCTTGTCCCACGTCCGATTCGAAGCCACAATGACGGTACAGCCAGGATCCATGTTAGACCGACTCAGAGCATCCAGCCAAGACGAAGAAAAGCCGGGAATCAACGGCCACCGAGAATTACCACGCTTTCTCCGAGAAACGCATCAATACGAAATGAGTGGAGTTTTTGGCCGCAATTTGAGGGCCAGCTCTGTCAGGCCCTAGCTGCAGCCGAACAAGCCACACTGTAGTCTACAGCACTGGATCTACCCCGGGTCTCTTGTCACCAGAGCAGTAGTCTTCAGGTCAGTTCCTAGTCTCCTCAAGACAACATACGATGGCTCTCTTCGCCAGCAATATTGTTTACTGACACGTCTA